AGAGCCTGCTGACGTTTGTTTGCGGCGGCACTGTCGACAGAGGTGCGGCCTCTCTTGCTCTGGTAGTTTTCTGCCATCCTTGCTAGGGCTCTCATAGTTACGCGCACTGGTAACAACGGTGGCATTGCTTGTTCCGCTGTGGGCAGTGCAAGCGGTGACACGCCCCTAGCGCAGCGTTGTCGTGATGACCATGTTCAGGGGCGTTCCCAGTGCGACTCACAGCCCCAGAACCACGAGCGCGAAGATTCTGGGAGAAACTCTGAACATCCCCTGAGACCAAGATTGAATTACCCATCAGAGGTACGCGTGGAATGGCGATGGGCAGGGGAGGCTGACGCGGGGCCTTCTTGGCCTGCTGCTGCGGGTGGAATATCGGAGGGTCAGGAGTGACTAGTACTGTTGCAGCTTGAGGAGGAACTACAGAAGCGAGTTCTGCCTGTTCATCCTCATCGCCGCAGAAAGTGACGTCCTCGAAATCGAAGCTGATCTCTCCGCTATCCGTCTGTTCAAGATGGCTTATGTTAGGGTTGACGTTGGAAGATGTTGGAGCGTTCTAAGCTCCGACTTCAACATGTCCCTGTCCTGGGATCCGCGAGGACAAGCTTGCGACACCCGCCTGGGTTGAATTGGCGGTGGTGTAGTTCTTGCCTGGCTGGCTAGCGGTCATGCTTAAGTCTGCCTCTCCGGCAGCATCACACCAATCAGGCCTAGGGTCAGGGTGGTAATTGGTTGTTGAGCTGTTGATCACAGCTTCAGGCTCGGAAGGAGTAATGCTGGCGAAATTGGTATCTTGACCATCATCGCCAAAGAGTGATCCATCATCGTCACAGACTACATCAGCAGCCGGAGTAGTCTTGACAGTAATGCTGTCGACGTAGGTTCCCGGTCATCCCATTGGGAAGATTTCTCTCTTGCCCCATGGCGTGCTTGACGAGCTCCTTCGGCTGTTAGATCGCGATATACGGGGCCGGCAATGGTCTCCTTTAGTCTAAATCAGCCACGTAAAGTTGGGGTACGCGAAAAAAGCCTCAGGTACTTACCAAAGAAGTCATGTGAGGATTCACCGCGTGTGGAGCAATGAGCTGTCGATGGATAGTGTTCCTCTCGTTACAGTTCGCGAGGTACGTGTTGAACCACTGAACAATGGGCATGAGACCAGACGCGTAGAAGTTGGAAACCCAATCACAGTCTCGAAGGGTCGTTCTGGGGATCTTGTTGACCGAAGGCTGTGTGAGTCTCTTTTTGCAAGCTGGGTTAGGGCAAGGGTAGTCGTAGACCTTAAATGACCCGACGCGCTTGAAGGGGCACTCCTCGTAATCGAAGACCGGAACAGGAGTATCGCGTGGTAGAAAACAAGAAAAGTCTTGCCAATGAGTCTGGATCTCCTCTTTCTCGATCTCATGGAGCCCAAAACACTTGAGAGCATAGGCCTCGCACCGCTGAATGAGGGCGTTCGTGGCTATTTTCGTGTCGCAAAAGAAGCAGAGAATGTCTCCAACGTGGCACATCACGACAGATGTTATCTTCTCTCGACTCAACAGCAGATAAATCTCATACAGGTTAACTTCCTTTAATGACAGAACAACGATGGTAGGAAGGAAGTTAATGTGTCCTGCGATCAAGCTTGTTATGCAGGTTGAAAGACTGTCTGGGTCTCGCTAGACGGCTCAAACGATGGAGAAGTCGAATCTTGAATGGCGTGGAAGACGACCAGCTCTTCGCATGCCAATCTGGCAACGGAGAAAAAATGAGTTCGTGTATGGGTCCAGACACGAATGGGTACGGGAGAGGTGTGCTGTTTATTTGTAGAAATATTTTGTTACGAGTCAAGTGCAATTTCGTGTAGTTGTTGATGGACGGGGGTTGTTAGGAAGGAAGGAGAGGGAAAACGTTGTGGGGTGCTGTCATGGCTGAAGAGCCATGTAGTGCGGTTCTCCCACTGGGCAACTGGCCAGTGTTGTTTGTTTACTATCCACGCCCCTCAACCCGCGGGAATATCTCTGTTGCTCTGCATCACTATCGCTAATCACGATTTTCTGGTTGATTTCATTTACAGATACTGCAACGTTACCTTGTACTGTCTTCAATAACACCATGCGGTCATGCCTTCACTCCACGCTCTGCCCAAACAGACAAATCTCAGGCATGACATGGTAGCCGAGCCAGGTTGAAGGCCTCCATGGGAATAGTGAGACTTGGCATTTCTGTTCGTCTTCCCATTCAGCCTGATGCAAAGTAACATTATATACGCCCTGGCACAGAAGCTATGTTGAGGACTCATGTGTTCGTGTGTACTGCAAGATACGGCATTGCAGTTGCAGTTTCCAATGTGACTCGACACTCTGTCCCACCCACTAATAGTCCTATCTAGGGATCGTACGAGGATGGATGTACAGCTGCTGCTGATACTTGCCATTGTAGATATGATGTAGGAAACACCAGAGCGAAAGGATGACGTGGCTTTGGGGTATATTCGTAAGATGGCACGTGTATCTTCTCAAGCTCAACATCTACTTTCGCGTTAGATTGATACTGTTCTTGGGCGAGACCTCCCTCGAAGAGTTGAAAAATGCAGGCGCCCGTCGTCGATTATTCGCGTGTGGTTCGACATCAGGTATCATAGAAAATCGAGAACACAGTGCATACTATCAGCCCCCTCCAACTCCAAAGCCTTGTCCGACCACAATCGGCCGCCGCGACAATGTTGCCTCTCGTGAACTTTCGGCAACACGTCCAATTAACATATGAGACACAGCAACGACGTGGCTCCACTCTTGGGACTCCATCATCACCCAGCCGGCGACATCAACAAAGTCCAGAAGACGACCGCCTGACCTTTTCGGACATCTGACACCACAAATCTGATGTGAGTAGGGATGGCCCAGTAGTAGAGAACTATGAAGCTAGTCGACTCACCGGGAAATGCCCATCAAGAAAGAGTCCCTCGCCCTTCTTCCCCAGCGAGGTAATACTTCGCTAGGTACCGAGACAATCTTCCGGTCATATTCACATGGCCTGCGGACCGTCGCGAGACGCATGCAATGCAACCACAACCATCCTATACGGTCTCAGACCTGATCATCCTCGCCACTGCGGCCATTTGCGATGCCGGTCCCCCCAAATGCCGTTCTCCAGCCACATGACCAGCCACTAGCAGCACCCGAGCCACACACCCCACCAAGCTCACCGACAGAATGCGTCACTCGGCAAGGCACACCACTACACCCTCTCGCGTCCTGATCCCCTCCCCCACGACACCGAATCCCGCCGCTGGCAGGCCGCATGACCCCCCTCGGCGGCGTTTGTGAACCCACTCAAACCGAGACCTCAGCTTGCGATGGCCTCGCAAGCCCCCCCAAAAAAGCCCGTACTGGAACAATAGCATTGCGGTAGAGCAAAGCACCACGGGAGACAACAGACCCGCTCGCCAGCCCATGATGAGAAAGTGGTGCCGTCCAACCTTGGCAGGTATCCAAGTTTCCGGTTTCGAGGTCTTACCTGCCTCTCCACGTCGCATCATCCTCGCGTTCTCTCGCCACCAGTGGAGGACCGGCAAAAGGCCAAAGGTGCAACTTCGTGTCTGGTGGGGCATCCCTCTCTCCGTTTACGAAATGCCCAGCAAGGACAACGATAGCATCGCCATTTCGGCAAAAAACCAGCGTACCACCTCCGCCCACCACCCCCCTCTTGATCGAGGAGAAAAAGTCTCGGGACCACACCACGCCGGGGCCATTGTACTCAAGCCCGGGCATCTCCAGGCATCCCTCGCCGCCTGCGCTGGGGGGGGGGGTTTTGACAATCAATGAACCCCCGTAAACCCGTTCCCGCTGCCTGCCTGCGCGGTTGTCCCGCTTAGACTCTATTCTGCACATGTCGAGGGATGACCCCGGCACTGGGACCTAAATTCCCAGATCTGCTACCTGCAGTCGTGCGATCAGCGACGGTGACGAATCGGCAGGCAGGCGAGGCGATTCGCGAGCCACTTGGAGAAAAGAAAGAGAGAAGAGAAAAAAAGAGCATACGACTCATGTCAGCCACTTCCTTGGTTGTGCGTTGCCAGAATCGGACAAAGGGACAGTGCGCTCTCGAGAACCCTGGATGTGCCAAAAGGTGAAGCGGACGCGTGGGGAAAGGCAGACGTGGTGATCGACGGTCCCCGAAAGACTCGGGGATCGACATGGCCGGGACCAGGGGCCTCGTATCCTGACTGATCAAGGTGCACCCTGCCGTTCATCCCCCCCCTAGAGTTACGACGTTGACGAAAGAGTGAGACATGCACCCATCAAGACCATCACAAGACATTCAGAGACCCGAGACGTGGTTGCAGGCAAAATGTGGAGTGCAGAATCGTGCTTGATTTCCAAGATTCTAAACTATCCAATCCCTGGAGATATGCCAATCTCATGTGGTATCCTTATCGCCAAAACCGGGCGTTCCCAATAACCCTGCCGCCAGTGCTATCATCCTGGCCCAAATGCAACGCTTGACAAAGGAAATGTCTATGGTATGTTGCACGAAAAAAAATACAGCCGCTTGCGACACCATTCTTACTCCCAACGGTACACGCCATCATCGTACAGGACTCGGTGCCGCCTGCTGCCGGGACCCACCTGTGGCTCGTCGGCGCGGCATCATCCTCTCGGCCAGGCGCCTGCGTTGCGCCTCCTCTTCCTCCTCGATGACCTGCTGCTCCCTCCGCCGCTTCGCGGCGGGGCAAAGCAGTGTTTGTTTGAGAACGTCGTAGGGGTCTGTCGCCGAGGTCGAGACCGCGAACGGCCTCTCGCAGCTCACGCTCACGTTCCTCGCCGGCAAAGTCGGTTGCTGTGCGCCTCAGCGTAGGGATTGGCACGGCAGGGCGGGCATCGATTCGCTCATTAAGACGGGCGATGCGCTCGGCCTTACGGATGTTACGGTCAAGCTCGGGGTCAGCCTCCTGCTGGGGCTGGCGGCGGCTCTCTCGCGCAGCCATGATGCGCTCGAGCTCGGCGGCGCGTTCGCGGTCAGCCTGGCGCTGGTATTCTTCATTATCGTGGTAGCGTGTTTCGCGGCGTGAGCGGCGACGGCGACGCTCATCGTCAGACGAGGGGGCAACGTAGGTTGGTTCCACCACGTGGTGTCGGCGGGAGCTGGAGGGTTGGTAGGCGGCGGGTGCTGCGTCAAAGTGGACGTGGCGGCTCGGCCTCTCGTCAACAATGACGGGGCGGAGTGTGTCGTGCTCCCGCTCGCGGCGGGCGTAGTGGGAAGATGCCATCTGGTATCCCGTTCTCGGCGACGAAGGCGCGGTGAAGGGCATGCCAAAGTGCTGAGGCGGAGTGCGAGGGGTGGGAGGCCCGTCGACGATGATGATGCGTTCATCACGGGCTCGAGCCTTGCCAGACTTGCGAGTCACGTCAATGACCTTCTGGCCAGAGATGTAGACACGCTTGCGGTCGGAGCTGCGGCGTGAGTAGTCAGACTCATTGGCAGACGAGTAGGCGAGGGGCGTGGCGCCCCGCGGGGAGCCGTAGGGCGTCAGGCGCGGGGTGGGAG